TGATCTTTCTATTAATTAAAATTTACTCTGTTAGTATTTTCCAATATTTTTTATTGAAATTGACATAAATTTTTCAATATTTCATTTTCATTTATTAATGGAAGCTACTCTATCAGTCACAATAAGAACTTTACAATAAAGTACTTTTACACTATAAAGGAAAATGAATCCACACATTGCTGAAGAAAACAGGTATAGTACCAGAAATAAGTGTAAGATTAATATTCTCAGTACATACCAATTATCATTGCCATGGCACTGCTATTACACAGGCCCAAAGCAGATAAAATCTGGCTCATAATCTGTTGGTTGGCTAAGACTAAGTCGGCAACATATGTGGGTGATCCTTGAATACTGGTACTGCTTCCATTGCCGTCTTTGCCTCCTGAGACTTTTTCTTCATCTGAAACACTATCTGTCGTATTGGTGGTCACAGACGCTCTGGCACTGTATTCCCTATTGCCTGAAAGAGGCAGCTGTACTAAAATGTTAACAAGTTTTAACAAATCAAACATAAGTTGATCTCTTGTCATTTCACCACAAACTGCTTTCGCATCACCTGGACGAATGAGGTTGGCAAATAGTCCCCCGAAGCATGCTCGAGCGCCCACAGAGCTATCTGATCCACTTCTAGACACTACTTTGTCTGAGCAAGTGATATAGTGGTGCACTAAAAATGTGACAGATTCGATCACAGCAGAAATGGTACTAACTGAAACCACTTCAAAATTCTGCTCCAGGGTGAATTCTAAGAGCTTCACTTGGGCATCAAGAGGTCCTTGGCCTGTCTGGAAAGCACCCCTGCAAAAGGGAGAGATTAAAAATTAAACCGTTTTAAGTAGTTGGGAAGGGAGTAACCAATACAATATAAGACATCTAAATAATAATTAAACTCTTTATATTCTCTGTTTCATTTGGTAGCTAACAGTTTCCATCTCCTCTGGAGGTCTTGTTCTTTCCTCCATTTTATACAAATTCGAAAACAACTTCTCTTCCAAATAGAAAACTAAGGGACAAATAAAAAGCAAAGAATTAATTTTGAAGATACAGACTAAAATACTCCAAAGTCACAAGGCACTCATTGTGATGGAATGAGCTCTAATTTGTCACACTCTCAAACGATGCTATCATAAACATTCCCTACTGATTTGATTTTCAAAAATTAAGATTCAATCAAATCTTTCTTATGTATTGAAATTGAATGCTCTCAAACTCTGCTTATGCCTAAGCTATAGAAAGCTGGAAAGAGCATCACTCCCAACCGAAAATTAGAAAAGGCTAAATTAACTTACAAGTTGAAATTTTTCTTGAACCCATTAGACAGCTGAAGTCACAGGATAACCAAAAAAGCTTGAAAAAGAGAGGTACCCACAAGGAGATGGAACATGAGCACTGGCTTTATTGTGGCAGAATTTAGGAAGAAGAGACACTGGCAATATACAAATGGGCAAGGAGAATTCACCTAAAATATTTTTTAAATTGCTTCTTGCTTTTGTCTCTTGGTTCTTAAAAAAAAAATTGCTGAAGGCTGACAGGGTGATAATCAGCCTAGGGTGATAATATACTCCTTACACACTCACAGGAGCTCTCCCCAGCCCCTGAATGTCATGCTTTATGCCACCTATTCCATTTGGCTGTTCCTGAGTTGTATATTTTTTATAATAAACTAGAAAATGTAAGTAAAGTGTTCTTCCTGAGTTGTGAGTCATTCTAATGAATTATTGAACCTGAGGACGGAGTTGTGAGAACCCCCAAACTCATAGCCAAGCTGAACAGAAGTATGGGAAACTTGGAGACCCAGCAGTTGCCCAACTAGTGAGGGCAGTCTTGTGGCACTGACCCCTTAAACCTGTGGAGTCTGATGCTCTGGGTAGTGTCAGAATAGTATTGTCAGGATACCTAGTTGGTACTGAAAAACCAAGGAGCTGGTGTTGGCAAAGATACCACATATTTGGCATCAGGGGAAAAAACCCTCAAATGCCATTAGCAGTTTCCCACCAATGTAGAACAGGAAATGCTGTCCTGCACAGAAATGGCCAAAGATACAAGGCAGAGCTTGGCTGAGACAAACTTTCTGGTTTGTTTTCAAAAAGAATCACTGAGAAAGCCTCACCTCTGAGGCCCAATCACAGAGAGCCTGACAAAAACTGAGGCAGCACCATAATATCAAGGAACACCGGCCACCACTAAGAGCCTAGAGAACACTGAGAAACAAGCAACAGCAGCTGACTGCGAGAGGTGGTGCCATGGACAGAGATTCACTCTGCAGTACAGACGCATAAAGGGGGGACAAAGCTGAGGATGGAACAAGAACAATGGAAATAACCCTCCTGTATCCTAGCCCCTACTGAAGCAGAGGGTAAAATAAGTAAAAATTGAAGCTAATATCATACCAAAGGCAACCATAGCAACAACAAAACTTAGTCCCAGCTCAATTTCTAAGAAAAGCAACTCAAATCCTCACACTAATCACCAACCAGAAGTGGCAGGACTATTTCCAAGTGTAATACTATTTTCTTCCATTGTCTAATAGAAATCTGACCGTCTAAAGTAAAAAATGGTTGCAATGTATTATGTGTTTACAAAACATGTAAAATGTAACAACTATGTCACAAAAGATGGGAGAAAGAAATTGGAACTACACTGTCATAAATTCTGACATACATAAGTGGAATAATATTATTTGAAAGTAGATTGTGATGAAATGAAGATGTATATTGTAAAGCTAGGGCAACCACTATTTTAAAAATTTTAG